GTAATAGTATATTATTAAATAAAATAACAGCCTTTTTTCTCCTTGCTTTTATACATATAGGTCATTAATTGTGAAGTCCCCTACATGTGTCTGCATATCCATTAACGTAATAAACATTATAGAAAGTTGAAATCGTAAGAGATGCAAAACATATTGCTCAAGGAACACCGAATCTTTCGCTACAGATTGAGAAACGCTGCTAAAAATCGGAATACATTGCGATAGCAACTTTTATGCTGATGTTACTGACGTTTTAAAACTTTTGGAGATACTGGGTCAAATGTAAAAGACCTTTCACATTGGAACCTACTTGTTTGTGAGGCTTGTTTGTGCAGTAATATTTATTTCCATTATTTATAGGCGAAAAGAAAAAAAAGTTTATTTGTTTTTTTAATTGTAAAATTGTCAAGCGAGCGGGCGGTTCACCTGGTGTTAAGTGAATATGCCGCCCGTGGAAATTTAAAACATCCGATGGCTTGCAGGTGTGTAGACAACCTTCAAACAGTTTGCCCCGGTTACCTCACTCAGTAGACGAAACGCGAAAGTACTTCCACTTAACGCCGGTATTTTGTGAGGCCGTACTTACCCGGGCGCGCCTGCTCATTCGTGCAACAGCGGACGCTGCTGCATGGCCCTGCCACACCTAACTACTACATCCTTCGCAGGATAGCTAGATGCTATTCCATAAATAGGCCAATTTAGTTTTAAATTTAATAGATGGTAAGTCTTGTCGCGGTACAAGCATAATTTTTACGCGGCAGTGAGATTCACACCGGATATACAGATAGCTAGTCCGACAAACTTGTCACTAGTCTTATCTTTATACTAGCTGTCCCCCGAGCGCTTCGCTGGGCCATACCATCTTCTTTAAGTCAAAAAATTATAGGTTCCGGATAAGTTATCACCAACATATCATCTTGCATCTTATGTTATAAGTATTATTCCGATCGGTTCAGTAGTTTTCGCAGTATAACCGAACGAAAAACCATCTCTCCATTTATCTTCATACAAGCTTTTCGCCCGTGGTTTCGCTCGCTCGCTTTTTTTTTAAATATATTTTTATTAATCTTTTTTTTAATTTTTTTAATTTTTTTTATAATCTTTTTTTTTAAATATATTTTTATTAATAAGGATTCCTTTTTAATACCTGTAAGAATATGTGTACAAAGTCTTATGATAATCAGTTGAGTATTTTTGGCGTGAAAGCATAACAATCAAACTTACATTCACTATAATATTAGTAGTGATTATACGCTAAAATAAAGTAAAGTAACAGCCTATATATATCCCACTGCTCGTCAAAGGCCTCCTCTCTACAGGTGGTCTACCACGCTACCTACCCTCTTCTTCCAAATCTTGCTTGAAAATATTTTTTTATTATTATTACTGTTAAATATGCAGATTTTCTAAAGATATTTTCCTTCGCAATGCGTTTTTATTCGCAAAAATCTCGTTGCATGGATTTACCGTGTTGGTAATCCCTTATGAGATATATTTTAGACTAGCTGCTGCCCGCGACTACGTCTGCTTAGAATAGGCTGCAGGCGTAACATTCAGACAGAAAAACAGATATACATAAAAATATGTATATAAATTATAGCCTATGTCTTATTCTGATGTATAAGCTATAATATTGTAAAGTTTCATTATAATCCATTCAGTAGTATTTGGGTGAAAGAGTAACAAACATCCATCCATACATACAAACTTTATAATATTATTATATTATATAGTAAGGATAGATTCAATAAATATATTCCTTCATTTAGCTACTTGAGTAACATCCATACCACTTTTAAGTAATCTACACATATTATTCTAGAATTCCTCTTTCGGTTAATTAGCACCGACACATGATAAATTATTGCCGAGGGGAAAATTTAGGGCCTCTCTTGAATATATTACTCAATGTAGTAATGAGTTCATGACTCAACAAATTTCTAGACTTGAGCATTCCAATTACGTCACACGGAAGGGACTTTCGCGCCCTTCGCTAATGCCACGTATATTGTTCTGTAACTTCGTCCTCAATAGTTTATACTTCCCAGTTTCATTTACCATTGTATTACGAAAACGATTACGTGGAAAGTGGTAATTCGAGAATTCACTCCAGCGAAACCAGTGAAGATAGAATCTAACAAAACTGCGTCTTACATATTCATTTATTACACGAATAGAACGTAATATTGCGTACAAATATTGTTTCTTTTATTCTTTGGTTATCACCTATCATGTCTTAGCACTTTATTTTAGTAAGTTAACACTTTTCACCATGAAAAGGAATGACTGGCAGAGAATACCACTAAGCTTTATATCCGCGATTTTAGCTCTTAGCTATATAATGAAGTATATATAAATAAATAAGTAATATTTCTATTCAACATACATTTCATCTAAATGAATCTAGTCATCTAGTTGAATTTATGTTAGTTTAAAGAATCACATTTTTTCAATATGTTGTTCCTATTATAAACAACAGAATATATTAATAATTATTTGGTTGTGTAAACCTTTAACATGCCCTGATTATGCGCGGGATATCCAGATCCGTACCAGAGCCGAACTATATCCTAAACGGAAGTCTAAAAAAAAATAGAGGGATACCGAAGTAATTATTAAGAAGCTTGGTACTGGTTTGCTCTCGCAGTTACAAAGGAACTTGTAACTTTTAAACAATCTATTATATCGGACATTCCGAACTTTTTTCGTTTTCCTAGCGACCCTATTGGCGGCTCATTGTCTTGTATTCTCGGGTACTTGACACCTGTCTAGGCTTTCTTGCCCGCAAATTATACAACAAAAGACTGAAGCTATAAAACTGCATCCGCCGTGTAGTGGGAAAGATTGAGGAAAAATAGCATTGTTTCCCCGAACAGAACGCGTGTAGCAAATATGCTTTCACCAGTTAAGCATTTCTGAGAATGTATTTTGATGAGTCTATATATAGTCTTTGTAAATTCTGCGAAAATTATAACCAGTTTAATTAATCAATTTAACGGTGGTAGGGCCACGCAACATTGTTCGCTGTTGCACGAATGGACAGGTCCGTCCGGGTTAGTACCACAACCTCACAGAAGACCGGCGTAAAGTAGAAGTGTTGCACTTCTGCGTTTCGAATGGCGAGTGAGGTAGCCGGGGCCCACATTATTAAGAGGTGGAAACTGCAACACTACGGTTGTTGCAAATGTCCGTCGGCAGGCGGTTTTCACTTAACATCTGGTGAACCGCTAGCTCGTTTGGCACTGTCTCTGAAGATCCGGATAAACTATTATTTGTAGCACGTCTATTGTATATTTTTTTTATTTAATGTAAGCGACACTTAAAATGTGAACACATAATTTTAATTTCCTTTATTTTTGCATTTTTAATTTTTAATTTTAACTTAAATTATTGTTTTTTAATTGTTAAATTGCATTATTAGCGAGTTGAGAGTCTGTCTGTTGCAATAGTAAATGTAACGTCCAGTTTAAAAATGTCCAAGACGTCGCATTCTTTAAGCCTAATAGCTGGCAGCATTGTTTATATTACAGCCAACCCTAATGCCGACGTAGTTATCCCAACCCTATTACGCACTAATGCCGAAGCAGTTATCTGTCAAAATGAATGACACTATAAAAGAACTGCATCTTTTGTATACATCCCAAGATTACTCCTACGGTAATAGCTAAATTGTGTGAACTTTGTACATTGTCCAACCGATTCGCGTGTCACATCGGTGTTGGTCAATATGGATATTCTTACGTCACATATTAGTTTAGGGATTAAACTAGATTGGCACTAGAATTCGAAAAAGGTACGTAGACGTCATATAAACCTGAAATATGAATTTTTGTAGGTAAAAAATAAAAAAATTTAGGGCTTCGAGCCTCGTCTTTCGAGTAATACATGCCTTACTGGTTCGAAAGATTGGTATTTGGTAAATTTTTTGAGAATATATTTAATACAATGATAATCATCCAAATCTAATCTGTATTTGATTCTGATCGATTGGAGAAAAATAAAAACAAGAGGGGCATATTTTAAATGAAAATTATAGGCGCTGACAATTCTATTTTTATACTTTTTGAATGATCAAGGAACAATCTAAAAGAAGGATTGATTAACTTTTCCGAGATGAATAATAAAAAGTATAATGACTATCGCGGCTGCACTTAAACCCGTTAATTAGGATTTATTTATTTCTCAAATGAAATCTTAATAATAACAAAATGGAACTTGGCTAACTGAAAACCGTGATTATGCCGTTTTCGATACATTCTTACGCAAGTAATTCTTTGAATTAGCAACGTCTGCACTAAGCAACAATCTTGGCCGCGATCCCAACGTATAATAAATGCTTTCGAAACGCCAGTGTGTCGCGGCCTTAGAGTTGCGTGAATTTGAAAATTCGTGTCGGCTGATACGGTCCACTTGGCGCCTAAACGTCCTTTCAGACCATAGTCCGAAATGTATTATTTTACAAATTGACAAAGGGGCGGCGACGGCGCGGCGTCCGGGCTTTTTGCCGTTGTATAACTTTATGCTAGGGTTGACGATCGACAGATTTTACATTCGACTATTTAGCCTGTTGTCTTTGACCATTCTATGATACATGTTTGGATATTGCAATTGATTTTAGAGCTTTTCATTTAGTAGGAGTTCTTTAATGGTTACAACCGTCATATGACAGGTTTTACTAGTATGTTTTTTATTCCAACTTGATCTACAAATATTGAGATAATTTACTTTTTGAAGTGAAAACTTCTAAAGGCACGTTGGCCAATTTTGGATGGAGAAAAATTCATAGGTTCGCGTCACAGTCCCGATGACTGCTTATTTATAATTTATAACATGTAATATATCTTATTATATTTATTTATTTTAGAAAGTTTGCGGTAAAAATTTAAGGCTGCTTGCGATATAATGATATTGCGCGATTATGACTTTTTTAATCTGCTGTAGCACTGACCGACCATGTGATGGATTTTATGACGAAACTTGGTACGATTAGACCGGTAAACATGCTAGCAGTGGGTAACCTATCACGCCGATCGAGATTTAGTAATCGGCGAGTGAGTGGAATCTTTTATACGACGCATTCATACATAACAATTCATAATTATAGTAATTTATCGAATGCAGTTAGAGCTTATGTGTCAGAATTTTTTACGTTAATTGCATATAATAAACAATGAGGAATTAATACAATCAAATTCGACAAAACTATTACGAAAATGTATATAAAAAGCCTGTAATGACTGCAAGTTAAGGTTAACATACCTTTATATATCTTTTAGTAACGTGTTCAGTCTAAACCTAGTAAATATAAATCGTAAAAAAGCTTCCGGATGACGGAAACCTACATGATGGCTGAATGCTGATCTTTTTTATACGGTTAATAAAAAAAACAAAGAATGGTTGTCAAATACCGGCCTTGAGCTGCGTTTTTCATTAACTTCATCACTTTAGACGAAATAGCATGCTAAAGTGGCAACCCTCATCCAAAACAATCGACGACGTGACGGGCTGGCAAAACGGTTAAAGGTAATATTGAGTTGAGGTTATATCAGCTGTTTACGTAAATATTGCAATCAAATCATGTATCTACATAATAAATGGAAACCATGCCAATAAATATTGCTACGTCACCTTAGACGAGAAAAGGAATTGTAATTTAACTTCGAAATTTCGATTTAAGTACTTCTCCGTTTTAATAAACTTCACCCAATGAAGTGAATTGCAGGCGTTTCTATTAATGGTCTGCAGACCGATAATCAAAATAATAATATACACAATGCATTGATAAACTTTAACACTTAAATTATTATAATGGCCATGGCCATAGTTAGTTTTTCTAGAAAGCTTAGACGAAATAACATAGAAATAATCAAACATATAACGCACTAATGAGGCAAGATGATCGAGACACTGAATCATTATGTGATGCCCAAATGGATTAGAAAGGAGGAACTCACTGGCCATCGCTATTTCACCGATCCGCCGGTTTGACGCAACCGATGACGTAACCCAACTAAGGTGACAGTTGTTTCGAGACAGGACGCGGGAAGCTAAGCGGAGTGCACGCCGGTCTGGTCATACTCACGCCGCTGGGTGACACCACGGCCGGGGGGTCGCATCAGACGCCAGGACACACGCCATTAGAGCCGCCCCCCTCTATTCTGAACACCGTTTACACGGCCGTAAAGGACGTGTTCTCTCCCCCCACACCGCACGCGGTGGAGTCCACCTCCCACCAGCTGTCCGCTCCCCCGCCGGTGCCAGAGTTCAAGCCCATGTCTTGGGGCGCCGTCAACTCCTACGGCGAACCGGCTGCCTTAGACACGTACCCGGATTACGACCCCCGCAACCCCCACCCCCCTTTCGACTACGCCACCTCCAAGCACTCCGTGGTCCCGACCCTGCACAAGAAGGAGGGCCTCACGCCCGCCAAGATCCAGAAGATCAACCGCAACCTCAGCAAGCTCGCCGCTTACATGAACAACAACGTTCAGAGGTCCTTGGACGACGCGCCCCAGTTTAATCACGAGCGATTCGAGGAGATGCTCAAGACCGGCCGCGCCTTCCTCCCAACCCCCAATTCGGACAACGAGATCGGCGTCCTCCCCGCCGAGCTCCTCCCCGACCTCGATTCGACCACGGCCCCCGCAACTACGACCACTACGACCCCCCCGACCACGACCACCGACGCGACTGAGACCAACACAAACAGAAGACAAGACGTGAAATACTTCCTACGCGGAAACAAGATCGTTCTAGTTTGAACGCGACTGACAGTTTTCAATTAGGTATGTTGACAACTGACTGGACAGCCATGTAGTTTGTAGAAGTATACAAGACAGTATCAAAGGATGAATCTAAAAAGCACTTAAAATAATTACAAGAACGTCTTTTTTTCTTTCTTTCTTTCTTTAAGAAAGTCTAAGAAAATGTAAACAGTCTCGATCTTTATTTTCTCTTTCCCTCTGTCGTGTAATAAATATCTTTTTTGCCAGTAAAGAAAAATCGAACAACAAAAAAAATATTTTCAACTTATTCTTTACGATCCGTTGTTTCAGTTATTTTTACAAACTACATGGTGTGTATTACAAGACCGAATGACTGATACTGTAAATAATAATCAACGTTGACTGACATCTTTTTACCTACAGACAATATGTTGTACATTTTCTTCATGACTATGCCTGAGACCTTCTTAATTAACTCTGAATCACATGCATGTAAACTTCCAATAATTCCAAAAATGTTTCAGACACCTGTAAACGTCTGTGCTATAAATTTAAATAACTCTAGCTGTATTTTGTATTTATGTTTTCTTCAATAATTGGGGAATGTATTAACTTACCAAAGGAATTATTAACAAATCTTAAAATTTCGAAATGAAATAATCTTAAAGTTTTATTTATTATTCAAGGCACGATTATTATTATATTTTATTTTATGAGACTGATTTCTTTGCAATAAATATAAAATGTTTTGTGTTAAACAACGGCAACATTTATCACCACAGCTTTTTAAAAGCACTTTTACTATTACTTTCTTGTAATTAATAAAAAGAAACATATTTATAATCCATAACACTAATGAAACTGTATATGCATTTCAGAGATACCGATTTACGGAGCTTCGCTTGGTGCAGAGCAAATGCAGCACTATTTTGCGTAGAATAAGGTTTAAAATGTTGTAAATTTCGCTTAAATCTAAATTAAGTACCGAAAAAACAATTGTTAAAATCGGTTGATTTCCCACTACCGACGAGATGTAAGTTTTTGTAATTATAGTTGTAAGTTGTAAGTAAAACACAAAGCTTGTACATTATATTTTCGGTTAATAAGTTATGAGATTGTGATTTTTTGCGCCGTATCTGTATTTTTATTTAATAATTATAATTATTTTCGAATTCAAATCAAATTAAACACTACTTAGTATGTATTTTATAAAAACCTAATTATTTAAATGTATACAAATCTCGAGTCTCACAAAATAATTGTAATAGACATCCAAGTTTTCCAATAATTTATAAATTAAAATGAATTTGTGTTTGAAGTAATCAATAAACAAAATGTATTATTAACTGAATGTTTGTAAAAATAATTCGGAAATAACTACGTAAAATTTAAATCGGAATTTATAAGATTTTGAACTAGTATGTGGTACTTCATTGTACATAAATGCTCAAACAATTATTTATATTTCGCTTATGATTAAGATTAATATGATTTTGTAAATAAATTATGAGGGATGTGATTTCGTGGTTTTTCATTAAATAACTACTTAAGAGTTATTTACGGCTCCATTATTGTACTCTTAAATGAAATTGAATTGTGTCAATATGTACACAGCTATTGATATCTCTAATCCATATATTATTCAGTGTATGGAAAATATACATATTTCCCGTCTAGAGATTACTTTTCCTATTATGTGCTGACAATATACCGTGATAGCTCAGTGTTCGGGCGCTTGCTTTTTAATCATTATACTCGAGCAACCTGATTTTCATTGCCGTGCTCAGCGGTGAAGGAAAACATCTTGAGGAAACCTGCTTATTTTATAATTCATAAAAAGAAAATATTTCGAAAATATGTGAAGTCCGCCAGTCCGCAGTGGGGCCGCGTGGTGGACTATGCCCTGATACCTTCTATATAGAGGAGGCCTTTGCCCTGCAGTGGGACATGTATAGGTTGTTACTTTACTTTCTTTTTATTATAAAATTTAATTGCCCAGTCCGACCCAAAATATAGGTTTGATTGCTTACTTGTCTAAAGAAATACGCAGCGCCTCGATGGACCCACGGTGTAGAATGTCGGAATAACCTGTTCTATAAAATAAACGTTGTATTATATCCAGATGGATCTCCGCAACATCCGATAGAATTTGTGAAAGCATGACAAACATACTACTTTAGGTGATAGCTGATAATAATTGTGGTATAATTAGTTGATCTAAGCTCCCAACTTCAAAGCGATGAACCAGGAAAATTGTTGAATTTTCCTAAGGAATGATTGTCATCAGACATGTTATTTGAATCTAAATGTATGGTGTTCTGTTGAGTGAGGCAGCCGGGGTCCAATTTAGTAAAAGGTGGCAGAATCTCAAAACCTACGGGTGTTGCAAATGTCCATTTTATCGCTTACAATTTGGTGAGACGCAAGCTCCCTTGCCACCTTCTCACATAAAAAGCCTCGATGGCATTTTGTCGAGATAATGAGTTATGATGAAAAATGAACAGGCGATTCACCTGACGTTAACCCACCACGATTGTGGCTAAATCTGCATTATGTAAAAATAAAATTGTTTATTTCTAAATTCATCATCATCATCATCATTTCAGCATGATTAAGTCCACTGCTGAACATAGGCCTCCCACTTGCATCTATCGACTTCCCGCACATTTTCACAGGTCGTCACTGCATCTAGTGGGGGGTCGTTCTACACTGCGATGGCCAGTACGTACCTGCCACTCGAGACCCTTTCTACCTTAACGGTTATCGGTTCTCCGAGCTATATGGTCGCCACTTCAGCTTGCCAATCTTCTGAGCTATGTCGGTTACCTTGATTCTACTGCTGATGTCTTCGAATGTTACGAACTCTATCATGCAGAGAAATACCGAGCATAGCCCGCTCGATAGGTCTCTGAGCGACTTTGAGCTACCTCATACGGCCAGCAGTGAAGGACCACGTCTCTACATTATAATTAGTAAAATGTTAGAGTTACTAAATCGAAATTGGGGGTCATTAAGAATATTCTATTTAATAACAATGCAGAAACGACTGTTATAGCATATTGTTCATTAATAAAATTCTGAAAATATCTCTATTGGCCTATGCGATGTATGGGCACAAGCTTAGACGCCTAAAGAACGTGAAGAGATTGTCTTCAACTGCATCTGTCCTATTTAATCAGGCGCTTGGTTTCATCCGTGCGGAACTTTGCAGAAACTTTCACGAAGGCGTACATTTGAAAGAAACGTAACATTGTTGGTGAGCACATCAAAATTAACCGGGGGTAATAAGCCCGCCTGACAGAACTATATACACAGTACTAACATATCAAACCAACTGTGAACTAGTTCCACGCCTACGAGCATAGCGACACTAACAACGCGTACGCAAGGTACATCCGATACTGAGCGAGCTGTGCCTTGTGTACTGCCCGCCGTACAGAAGGTACCACCAACGATTAACATAGTCAACGGACATCGGGTCTACGGTCCGCAACGTCCGATGGATTTAGGTGCCAACTCCTTCAGTAGGTAACGCACACTAGAGCACACGCACGGCCATACCCAATGTTGGGTTGGATCAAGCTCTTGGAACCAGACTATTCCACGAGCGACGACGCTGCAATAGGCTCCGCACTTAAAGTAGAAACATCATTCAATAAAGATATCAAAATCGTTCGTATGTCACATTTAATTAGGACCGAAGTTTTTATCTCTCGGCACTTTGCGGAAATTTTCTTGAAGGCGTTATCGTATTTATTTAAGATAAAAAATTAAGCAATTTTAATGTAAGCCTGCAAATTTGAGTACTAAGCAATATCAGAGCACATTCGATACATTCGCAATCGTGGTGTGTAAAATGTACTACCTGAGTTCACCGTTTATATAAGGAAGGCCACAGTCATCGTTACTTACGGTTTATTCTACGGGTGATTAAAATTATAACTTGCTTTATTCGATCGATAAGAGTACTCTTGATTTTGCTTTTAAGAATTATTTAACACAAGGAAAAAAAAAACTGTTGTAGAGGACACACGTGTTGGCAACTTGACGACCCGATTGGCAAGTAGTGAAACTGCCTCTTGCGCCAGAGAGTGTGGGTTCGATCCCCACAACTGGAAAAATTATGTGTCATGAGCAAAATTTTTTCTATTGTTTGATATTTATATATCAATTAGCGGACCGGGCAGACATTGTCCTGTAGACACGACTTAAATCGGATAATATTAAATGAAACTACTTTACGGATAAAATCCGGATTTTATCCGTAAAGTAGTTTCATTTAATATGTCTAATATTCGCGTAAAATCAAGAAAACAATATGTTAAATCGGATAACTTAAAAAAATTGTGAATCTAAACCATTCTCTTCAGGTCGATTCGAGAATGGACACACAAAAAAACTCTTCATTAAAATCGTATCATATAAAGATAATATAGTCTATGGGGGAGGCCTATGTTCAGCTGTGGACTCAAACAGGCTGAACTGATGATGATGATGAAAGATAATATGTTGATGCGTCATCATCGTCGAATAATCATCATTATTTACAAAACAAAAGTTCGTTTAAATATTTTTATTAGTTTTGTATTAGCCATAGTACAAGCTTTGTTTAGTCTGGGACTAGATAACATTTAGTAAAATAATGTCCTGAAATATCTATTTATTCATTGCTACCTGTTACAACTGTTAAAACAGCACTTAAAAAGGAATTACTATTGATTTAATGTTATATGAGTCGTATATAATTTTGTATTTTGTAAAAAGTAAGCATCGGAAGCGGAAGGAACTAAATAAAGACAAGTTGACGTAACCCCCATTGAACGGTCCCCTCATTATAGACTTCCTATGCCTCATTTAACTCGCTTTCTAAGTTGGAAGCATGCACATCAATAGCACTGACTGATTGCAAAAACTGATGCAGTTGCAGCTAGATTTTTTACTAATATACTTTACAAAACGAACTTTCAAGTACCTTTACTTTAGCTTTGTAAGAACTTTAACTTTAATAGGATAGATGAAGACAGCTAGTAGGT